CAAAAACGTGGGCTTAATGTGCGAGAGGAACTTAACAGGTGGAAAAATGGTCAACAATTTGATCTTCCTTCATGGATCACTCCCACGATGAAATTTGTAACAATTTCAAATCTATCAAAAGCAGTTCCTATAGCCAAGCGCATAAACAAGCTGGACAATTGAAAATTTATCCACTTTTGGGAAGGTCTTTATAACTAAAAAATAAGAGTGGACGTGAGCGAAAACTCATTTAAAAGAACTCAACTCCTAGTGCAACGAACCTTTGTTTTTAATTTCAGTTTTAATTTCGTCAGAAGGGATGTATATTGACGAAACTAATGCAGTGAAATAAAAAGAAATAAAACACTTGAGACCCGCCTGCCATTGTTGATCGCAGACTTTAATCTATAAAAAGATATCGAGTGATAAAGACACTTACCAGTGGTGGTGGGCAGTGGTGGTTGGATAATGATACGGATGTTACTAGTGGATTCGTAAAAATAGTCTCCAACAGATTTGAATGGAGATAGCATTATACCTTGGTATTGTTCTTTGATATTTTCGGCATATATTTTGGTTTTCAGATTTTCATCTTCGATAGGAATATCCACACTTCATAGATCTATCTCATCAGTATCAATATTGGCAAAGATATTTTTCTTCATCTCTTTGATGAGTCTCTTGAGATGTCCAACGAACATTTTTTCTCTGACATCAACCGGAAAAGAATTCTTAATGGCATCACCTAAAACGATGCAAAAAATCTGGAATTTCATTAAAAATTACTTATAAAATTATATAATTTGTAGAATTTTAAATACCATGATTTCGCCGGTATTAGATAACATTATATATATAAGTTATAAAGTCCTAAAAATGATTAGAGTGTTTAAGATAAAAGAAAATGTTTCAGTCCACAGCACCGTAATCTGATGTATTTATAATTTCCGTGTGATTAGTGATGTTGGTAAAATACATAAGGCTTGGGCTGTACGTTTATGTAATCCGACTTACCGAAAAAGCTATG